CAGGCTGGCAGGCCCGAGGGCGCTTCTCCGTGGCGGGGTGTCCTCCTCTCCGCATCCCTCCGCGGCCAGCTACCTGGCTGCGGCTCGGGGTCGACCCCCGGTAGAGGAGGACGGCTCCTAACGGGTCGTCTCTAGCATTGGGTTTTGTGTTTATTTGAGGGCCTCCCGCCCCGAACCGGCTTTTCCACGTTTTGTGTCACAAAAGCCTGAACAGAAACCACGGCCCGTTACCCGCGGGGGAGGAATGCGCCCTGCCCAGCTGGTGTTTGTTCCGGGTGTCCCCGGCCGTGTGAGAGGTCCTCTCCTCTCCCCTCCCCTCGCCCTGAGGCCCTTCCGCCGTGGGAGGCAGTACGGCCCCGCGGGCCCTGTCCGCTCGGCGGCAGCGCCTGGAAGCCGTTGTGACGGGCGGCTGCAGGTTGTGTTTCGCTCCCTCGCGAGCTCCAGGAAAGCTAGGCCACTTCGGTTTTTTACCTATATTTTTTCCCCCACCTAGTAGTATATTTACTGCATACTTACTGTTGACACCAAGAGCTGGAAGAATTGTGTTGCCGTATTCCTTTCTTGTTGTTTTGCATCTCTCTTTAAATAGGACATGGGATCTTTTCTGTGAATTCCTTGGCTTGGCTGAGGATGCTGCTCTACAGTAGCATTTACCCAATATTCAGTGCTCAGTAACTGCATTTTTAGGTTGAAGTGACTAAACTAAAACAGTAATTTTGGTATAGAGAATGTTTCTCTTGATTCGGTGAAATAAAGTCTGTGACATATTAGTTGCAATAGCCTTAGGGGAAAAAGTTGACACTGTAGGCAGATTTTATGCCAAACTTTGATCTCAGTTACACCCCAAAAACCTCACTGATTTCAGTGGTATTACATTCAGTGGCAGAGGATTTCTACCAGGATTCTGTTGTTATTTGTTTTGCTCTGACTTGATCCGTTTTTCATGCTAGCAGTATGTAATACATTGCAGTAGTAAGAAAAAAGGGCTACATCTCGCCATCCATATTTTTTTATCTCCTTATGCTCTGACAATATGTCTTGATGTGCAGTAGTTAATTACATCGAAATAACAAAATGTTTATTGGACGCAAAGAAGACTTTTACAATAGTTTCTAAAATTCTTTCTTGCCAAACTTAATTATAGCAGGTTTTACTAAGTGTACCATCTCTTACTTCATGTGAATGTAAATATTGAGAATGGAGTTTGAGCATAGATTGTATTTCCAAGACCCTCAGGCAGTGGAAACTAAGATGTTGGTAGAAATGGCAAACCTTTAAGAGAACAGCCTCTCGGTTGTTAACTTCCCTTTTTCTCAAAGCTAAACCATGGAGGAAAATTTTTGTCTGCTGTACAGCACTTTTCTATTGTTGGAAGCATGCTTGAGTGATGACACTGGATCAAGCTTTGTTTAAAATATTTGATCAGTCCACAGCATTGCTAACATAACAGGGGTCCTGAACCCCGAGGTGAAAAGTTCTGATGAGTATGAAAAGGGGAATAGCTAGTTTTGCTTTCTAATGAGGTTTCTTTTCTTGTACTGATAAGACTGCTAAGGAAATCTTTGAATATGCCTTTTATATTTTGTTAAGGAGTTCAATATAATGTGGTTACCAGTGATTCATTGAAATTACATTCTTTTTGGAGGAAACAGAACATTCCTTTTGACCTGCCTACATTATTTGCAAGTATTGATTCGCTCAAAGCCTTTAACTACAGAGCTATGAGAAAAATTGCTCTTTTGCTTTGAACCGGGACTTTTTCTCTCACAGGAACAAAGAAACAAAAAATGTTTAAAAGTATCTTGATGGGCAGAACATTTCATTATAAAATTTAGTGTTTTCTTTAAAAGGAATATTTTTAAGAGGAGCAATCTGACATAAAAATGGAAACATTTTAATTTGGGGTAATGTCAAAGCAAAATATTAATATGTTTTGATTTTCTAATTGGTTTTACTCACCTTTTTCCTTTTTACCCTAAAATGAACTTATGTGGCTTAATAGTTTGCATTTCATTTG